TGTAGGGTAAGTCGCCGGAACCCTAAACCCTAAACCCTAAACCCTAAACCCAGCTTCAGGCTCCAGCTTTCGATGGCCACCAAGGCTCGGACAGCATTTGTCTCTCTGCCCTAGGGCTCTAGGGCTCTAAGGACTTTTAAACCCTAAACCCTAAAACCTAAAACCCTAAACCCTAAACCCTAAACCCTAAAACCCTAAACCCTAAACCCCTGATTGTATCCTCCCTTGGAGTGGTCCCGTACGCAAGCACCTCAAGAACATGCTCACCAGTCGTGACAAGAACCGCAAGGCTCTTAACATTTGGTGGTCATTGCTTCAGGGTGTCAAGCGGGGTCTCCCTACAGTGCCAGATGATTTTGAGCTCGATGCAATGGAGTCGCATCGTAAGGCCCTTTCGCAAGAGTTGCCAAAGTTTGCACCTTGCATTGCGGCCAGGCTCAAGAATCGTTTTGACATCTTGTGGGAAAGACATTCTCCTTGGGAGGGTGAGTGCGTTGTTGAGGATCCTCAAACCGGGGAGACGAAAAGGGCAGTCGTTCGTAGGAAGCGGACTGTTGTCCCAGATCGGTCTCAGGCAATCAATCCAGGATGGAATGCCTGTTTTGAGAACACCCAGTCATCTGGAGGGAAGTGTAGAAGGATCAGGGAATTGGCCTTGGAAATCAGACGAGATTCCAACCCTCTCTTGGGTGAGGCCGGGGTAGAGGAGGAGTATTTGTCCCCAGAAAGTGTCTCGGAAAGACAACCTTCTTCCAACAGTGTGGATGGAGGAGGGGATCCCCATACCTCTGAATCTATCCCTGATAGAGAATCCTTCATACCCCAGTTCCGGAGGATAGCCTCATGCGGGAAGCCTACGAAGAGTGTAAGGCTATGGAAGCGCCGCAGGCACCAGTCTCAGTATGCCTCGAGCCTCTCAAGGCTAGGATCATCACAAAGGGTCCAGGCCTTCCATACGTTGCCTCACAACGTCTCCAACGGGACAGTTGGAGCCACCTTCGTACAAAGAAGGCTTTCGCACTCATCGGAGAACCTCTACAGAGTCATCATCTTGATTGGCTCTGGCACCATACCCGGAGATTCGAGAAGAAGTACTTGGATGGGGAAAAGTTATTGGACCAATGGTGCAGCGGTGACTATGCTGCAGCGACAGATGTATTATCTCGTGAGATTAACCTCATGTCGACAGATGCCTACAAGAAGAGCATCAACCACGGTTTGAATAACCATTTTGCTTATCACTGTGCCCTGATTGACACAGCGATGGGTCCCCACCATATCTCCTATCCGGACGGTAAGGTGCCAAGCTTCACAATGAAAAACGGGCAACTTATGGGCTCGCCATTGAGTTTCCCCCACTTATGCTCGATCAATTTCGTGGCATTGTGGGATGCTCTTGAAACCTGGGTGAATCTCTGCCATCAGAGGAAGATGGAGGATTCGCCCAGGTCTACGGCCCAAGAATTATCCTGGATCAAGGTTGATCCGGATGATGTTGCCGCGTTGATCAATGGAGATGACATTCTGTTCATGACCTGTAAGGAATTCAATGCCGTTTGGGAGGCATCAATCAAACAGGTCGGATTTACTTTGAGTATAGGGAAATCCTATGTGCACAAGAGCTTCTTGACCGCCAACTCTGAAGGATGGCGATTCCATGAAGTCAATGGACTACCTCAATTTGAGAGGCTTGGATATCTGAATCCTGGCCTTCTCTATTCTGGTGAGGTCGGTCTTAGCACTGTAGGAACCCTGGGCCGTAGATCGGAATCAGCCGATACTCACTGGACCCACAAACTCAGTAAATGTATGGTTCTCTCCTGCAACCCCAATCGAACGTGGCGTAGAGCTGTAAAACTGTACGCGAGCGAGATCGAAAGAGACAGCCGTGCTGGTCTCTTGAACGTATTCGCTGCGACTGAATTGGGCGGCCTGGGCGTGGAAGTTCCCCCAGGCTTCGAGCCTCGTTTTACAGTATTCCAACAACAACTAGCTGGCATGTTCTTGTATCGGTATAAAGATCTGGCAAGACGAAGCTGCCGAACACGGTCCTATCCGTGTATACCTGATACTTGGGACATGTCGCAGGATGGCATATGTGCAGATGAGCTTCTGGTAGAGGAGCCTGGTGAAGTCGTCAGTATGGATGATCTGCCTGGTGATAGATTCGCATCTATCAATCAGGCTTTTCAGGCTCGATGGACTACCAGCCCAGTGCACTTCAAGGGCCATCTTTTGTTGGAGCCACGGATCGGTCCACCGCGTAGAGACGCTTTGCGGATCAGTTCCATTCCCCGGCCTGATCTTCTTCTGAATTACCAGAGCAGTTTCGACGAAACTGTTCATCCATTTCAGTTGAGATCTCCGTCGGCCAATGACATCCGATCGACTCGAGAACACGTCGCATATGGTCGCAGTGGGGTGACTTGCCCTAGCGAATTCCCGTACGTGTTTTCCGTTCGGATACCGAAGAGGAAGGAGGAGTCACGGAAGGTTCCGTTAATCACTTTGCCAAGGTCACGGTTATCAAAAGAGGATATCGAGGAGATTGATATCTCTAGAGATGGCGTACTAGGCAAAGATGATTACCTGCTCGGACTCTTCTCCTCTGAGAGTGGGGATATTTCCGCAATGCCCGGTTGGATGTGATTGAATCAGTGCTATCCCCCTGCGGGGCAGCACTCGATTCGCTACGGGAAGTTTGGGCAACCGGGTACGATGGCGAGAGCGGCCTCTGGAAGGCCCTCAATACCTTCTGTCTGGTACGCTCCATTCACGATGTGCTGTGTGACTGTGATAGTCGCTACGCCATCATGATGGGCCAGCCAGAAGCCGTCGCCTCGTATAGGCTCCACTCTAGGCCTCGATGTGACGCAGATGCAGGCCGAAGTTCACCAGAGGCCAACGGTCGCTAAAACGTGGGCCCGCCGTTTTTCACAGACATGCAAGACAGCCAACCTTCAGGCGGGCGCACAGCTCCTCCCCCAGTGGCAGCAACAACAGCGGGCTTCTGATGATGGTTGGATCTTCTGCAAGCTTGCGGCGCCGGCCAGGCCCAGTTGCGGACACGTGTGCCGAGATTGCGGCTTCATCGGCAAGACGGCGGCGGCCCTTACGTGGAGAAACCGGAGGCGCGTGGCTTCCAGCCACCCGAGTTGAGGGACCCAAGCCGTGGTGGGCTACCCTCCGCCCCACGGGCGAACACGGTTCTCAGGAGCATGTTTGCGTAACCGGTTGGGGCACCCTGTCTGCACTGTTAAGGCGCAAGTCCTCCGAGGAGTTGGTCTCTTTGACTCACTCTATCGTTGAGATCTGGACACGTGATGCACTACAACTTGAAGACTGTCCGCTTGCGTTGTTGAGCTCCCCTCATTTTGACCTGTTGAGCGTAGTGGTACAGGCAATTGAGCTTGACCAGTCAGGTAGCCAGGGAGTCGTCAGAGGGACTAAGTGGCAAGCAGCCGCTAGTCACGGACGAGCCATTTTTGGCCCCTTGGGGGCGAAGCCAGTTTTCGGGACTCCCAAAGAGTGGGAGGCCTGCCTGGCCCTTTTTCAGTGCGTCTGCATGCTTGGATCGAGTGCACCGACAAGGTCCGAACATCAATCCAAAAAAAACCCCTGAACCCTAAACCTTAAACCCTAAAACCCTAAACCCTAAACCCTAGTTTTGAGCTTCAGGTCGCAGGCCACAAGCACTTCAACGCTGGCCTCTTTGGGTAGTGTTATTAGGGGTACCCCCTTAAAGGGTACCCCTTCTGAACCCTACTTTTGGCTCTCTTAAACAGGACCTTATTGAGAGGGTCTCTATCCCCAAGGGTCCCCCTAATCCTAGCTCCCACTCTTGCTTAGAACTTAACCAACAGAAGATGCCAGACTCAGGGTGACCCAGAGGCCCTTAAGTAGTTCCTTTTTGGGGTTCATATATAGAATCCCATAAGGTAACCCCAAAAAGGAACTGCTTTAGGGCCTATGGTTATAGGGTTTAGGGTTAGAGCTGAACCAGCAGAGGATAATTTGTAGCCAAGATGGTCTCCCAATCATGAAAACGTGCATTTATCAAGTAGAACCTTAACCAGACTATACGAGACTGCACTATGTTATGCCATATGTACTACAACTCTAAGTTGAAGGCTCGCCTTTCGGATTTGCATGTCGGGATGCAGAAAACTTCGATGCCCGCTAAACCCCCTAAATTCCGCACCCTAAAGTTTAGAGCCCAAAGCTTCATGCCGCCAGGCCAAGAATTTTTCCTCAACAGCGCCGTATGACCGCAAACATGCGAGCCTGAAGCTCCTTCTACCTAAATCTCGGGCAGTTGGACCCTCTGGATTTCCAGGCCTGATATCAGTCCCCGCCACGCGAAAGCCGCAGCGCCGAAAGCCAGAGCCCCACGTCTCAAACATGCAAGTTGGATCCTAAACCCTTACCCTAAGCCCTGATGCAATGCCAGCCAGCCCTACAAGTTCCAGGTTCGTGAACCCTACGTCATGTATTAACCCTTGAGTAGCCGCAGCTAAAGGCTGAACCCTAAACCCCGAACCACTTTGGACTTGGAGTGTAGCCTTCGGATCCGAAACGGAAGTGTTAGAAGGACCGACGGATCGACGAGCTGCAGAAGAAGATGGAGGTTTGGGTTGAGGGTTTAGGGTTCAGGATATTTTGTATGTGATAGTATTCGTTATGCCCCAATAAGGTAGAAGCCAGAAAGTTGAAACATCATTATCCTCATGCTCTTAAAGTAAAATATGAGGGATCCCAGCACTAATCATCCTAAACCCATGTTCCGACTTTCTTGGGGCTCGCTATCTGTTTTATGCGATATGTAATAGTATTCTTTAGATTCCCCTGGTATGTTTTTTTGAAGGCCGCACAATGCCATAGTTCAGTTACTCAGACTTCTTTATCAAGTTTCTTGTAATGACAGCGTGTTCAGGAGGTGCATATCGGTTTATGGGGGCTTAGGATTATGTAGCGGAGTCTGTGGATTTTGGCATTCGACGAACCAGGAGTTAGGTTGGCTATAGGGTCTGTGGCCGCAGACATGTGAAGGCTTGAGTGCGGCACGTATCCCTAAGGGTCCAAGTGCCTGATAATCATACACTCTCCCAAATATGAAACCTAGATAACTACTCTCCGTGACCCAAGTACCTTATTATTGGGTCCTTTGGACCGTTAGGCTATGGCGCACTCACCATATCTCCCTAAAATATGCATACACTAAGGAACCCTAAGAATATCAGTGGAATTTATTTAGGCTATTAGAGTATCTCCAAGTTCCACCTCCCTATAATATGAATACAATAAGGAACCCTACGCATTATGTAGGCTAAACCCTCTAAACCCTAAACCCTAAACCGGTTTAGGCTTCTGTTGCATCTCCAAGTTCCACCTTCGGTGCCGGCCCCCGAAACCGTAAACCCTAAAGCCTACCCGCGGCCCAAAAGACCCTGCCTTTCTAAGGAACTATATATATATATATAGAAACCATAGTAACGGACCTTCAAAAAGTATATAGAAACCATGATTATGAACCCTAAAAAGGTATGTAGAAACCATAAAAGTGAACCCCTAAAAGGTATGTAGAAACCATAGTAACGAAGCCTATAAAACAAGGTAGGTCTTTTCGGCCACAGGTAAACAAGCCCAAAACAACAGAAAAGGGTGGTCACTGCGAAGGAGCTCGGCTCAGATTGCCGCGAAGCTCGCCTTAGCACCACCGAGGCTACAAGAGGGTCGCAGGGCTTTTAGAGTTTAGGGTTCAGGGGGTGGGGGTTTAGGGTTTAGGGTTTAGGGTTTAGGGTTTAGGGTTTAGGGTGGAGGAGGGAGAGGGGTTGCGGTTTTAGGTGGTTTTTGTTATTTGAGAGGTTTAGCGTTTGGGGTTTGGTGTGTAGGTTTCACGGCTTCTGAGCTCAGGGCGTTGGGCTTGGATAAAGCTTTAAGGTTCATGGAGTCTCGATCGTCTTGTCTGGAGTTTTCATAGTGTCTGTAATTAGAGCACGTTACCAGGATTTGGTTAGGAGCTGCCTTTCATAGGGTTTAGCGTAACTGGTGCCAATCCCTAAACCCTATAAACCTCAAGCCCTAAACCCTATAGGCCCTATATAACCCTATATAACTTATAACCCTATAAACCCTATAAACCCGAAAGTCAAGCTTCTTGGGGGGGTTCCTACAGGCGGCTCGGTTTTGGGAAGATCCGAGGCTCTAGATAGTTTTGTTTTTAATTGTTTAGGGTTTAAGGTCTACAGTTTGAAGGTGTTTAGTTTTAGGGCTTAAGGGTTCAAGGTTTAAAATTTGAAGGTTTTAGGGTGTAGGGCCAGGGCCCAACCAATTGTAGGATACAAGTGGTGGACGAAGTCCTGCATTGCCCACAAGGCGCAATGCCATTGCAGCATAACTTGCATACTTCAGGGTGCTGGAGGCAATGCAGGACTTCCATTAATAGCATGACCCTTGCAGAACGCTGGGGCATAAGTTTCAAAACAGTATCGAAAGATTCCCTAAACCGCAAGTTTCAGATTTCGGGGTCTGTGGGTTTACGTCTCCTGTCCTCCTCACCCTAAACCCTAAACCCCTAAACCCTAAACCCCTAAACCCCTTCACCCTAAACCCTAAACCCCTTCACCGTAAACCCTCGACTTTACGCCCTGTTCCCATGGGCCTGGCACCTCTGATGTCAAGTCCCCTTCAACCTCCGCTTACACCAAGATCCTGAGCCCGAAACCCGGAAGCCTTGATTCAGTAGGGGCTTTGGGGTTTAGGGTTTAGGGATTCAGGTTTAGGAGTTTAGGGTTTAGGGGTTTGGGATTCAGGTTTAGGAGTTTAGGGTTTAGGGTTTAGGGATTCAGGTTTAGGAGTTTAGGGTTTAGGGCTTAGGGGCTTCGGGGTTTACGGCTTAGAGAGAAAGCGTAAGCCTTTGAAACCGAAGCACTACTTGGAGGTTCATGGGTAGTTATAAGTGGGGTTATAAGTAGGGTAACTATACTTATAACCCATATTAGGGGACTTATAACCCTGCTTATATCTACCCCCTAAACCCTACACCCTATAGAACCCTTTAAAGGAACCCCTTAAAGGAACCCCATAAGCCCCTACTTATAACTACCCATGAACCTCCAAGTAGGAGGGCCCCAAGCCTCAGAAACCCTAAACCCTAAACCCTAAACCCTAAACTCTAAACCCTAAACCCTAAACCCTAAACCCTACTAAGCAGCAGACAGACTAGGAGGGCCCCAAGCCTCAGACAGAAAGTCAGTTCTCACCTCGAACCGTAAGCCTCGAAGCTCTTTAGGGCTGAAAAGCTGTCGGGGTTTAGGGGTGTTATAGGGTTTATAGGGCTTTATGGGGTTTATAGGGTTTATAGGGCTTATAGGGCTTATAGGGTTTATAGGGCTGGGCTTATAGGGTTTATAGGGCTTATAGGGCTTACAGGGCTTAGAGGGCTTATAGGGTTTAAGGTTTAGGGTAACCTCATGCCCTAGAGCCGTCAACCTCTGGACGCCGGCAGGTGGAAGGGGAGCTTGCCACGAAGCGGCGGCAGCTCCACGACAAGGAGCAGGCACCGAAGGGAGAAGTCTAAGCCCTAACTACTTATGAACCCTAAACCCTGTCTGGTGCTTAGTAGGGAATGGGGGAATGGATCCCTATGATAGTCCCTTAAGGTCCCTTATAGTAGTCCCTATAACCCATTCCCCCATTCCCTACTAAGCACCAGACAGAACCCTAAGCACCAGACAGAACCCCAAGGGGGGTTGGGAAAGAGGGCGCCCTAAACCCTAAACCCTAAACCCTAAACCTTAAACCCTAAACCCTAAACCCTGAACCCTGAACCCTAAACCCTAAACCCTAAACCCTAAGGGGGTTGGGAAAGAGGGCGCCTCGAGGGGCCTAAAGCACGTCAGGAATTGCTGGCTCTGCAGCGCAAGCACGACCATCTTCGATCCCAGACTGAGGACGGGATGAATCCCGAGCTAATGGTTCCATCTTTCCCTAAGGGTCCATGTACCCAAATAGTATATACATTGGCCCCAAAGTACCTATATAGGGACTACTTTAAGGCCAAAGATATACTATTTGGGTGGTTTCTTCAGGTCTTTACAGTCAGCGTATAGGGCTTGATAAGAACCTGCATGGATACCGTTCTGACAGCTGGCTTTGGCCTTTCCTTTGCATGCTGAAAGTACCCAGAATACGTACTGCGAGCACGGAGTTCTTTTCAAGAGACAGATATACGATAAGCCTTACCACTTATGCCTTATAAACACTGAACCCTGAACCCCTATATGGGTAGTTCTCCAAATTAGGTTCCCTTTTCAGGTCCCCAATATAGTACGGCACCCGTATAAAAAGGACCCCAAAACGGACCCTAATTTAGAAAACTACCCCGAAACCCTAAACCCTATATTGCATTCTGCTAGGCACCTGTGGTCTTCCGTGGTTTCTGGTTTCTTTTTTGGGATCGCCCTGAGAGCTCGAAGCTCGGAGCCCCCAACGCAGCGTTTACGGTTTATTTAAAGTTTAGGGTTTAGGGCTTATAGGGTTTAGGGTTTAGGGGGGTTAGGTTTTCTTCCGAACTGCGTTGTCGCTTCTGGCTTCAGCATCGGGCTTATTCGAAAGGCCCTGTGTGTTAATCTAGAAAGCTGCACCACAAAGCCTTTTAATCCCAACAGCTAAAAGCTCGAAGCCTTAAACATTGACAGCAGTGAGGACCGCAGCAAGCGCGCAGACAAGAAGGAGGAAGAGCCGCCGCCCCAAGTCATCTGAATCTTCGGAGCTTCACAGCAAGAGAAGCAACGGTTTAGGGTTCGGGGTTTTAGGGTTTGAGGGTTCAGGGTGTCGGGTTTAGGGTTTAGTTCCATGTTCCCCTGAGCATTGCAGACCCATGAAGAAACAACAACCTGTCGTTAAAGGACCTGAGCCTAACTATTTCGCTTGCCATCATCGTCCTGGTCCTTACTCAGGGAAAGGGGGGGCGGACCTATCAGTTCTCTACATCATAGAACCCTTATGAGTAAACCCCGAAAAGTTGGAAACCGGATTAAGGACAATTCGTGCTGGGATTCCCCATGCAGTAGTCCTAAGGACTAAGGCTATTGGGATTCCAACTTTTGGGCTTCTACTGTATAGAACTGAAGACCTGAACCCTAAGCTTCAAAAGTCCTGCGCCGAAGCCCAATGCCCCAAGCCCAACACCCAAAAAGCCCCAACTCCCTAAGCCCTAAACTCCTAAACCTTTCAAGCGCTACGCCCCAAGCCCCAAAACCCAAAAAGCCACAAAGACCTAACGCTAAACCCCAAACTTTACCCTAAATAAACCTTACAACCCCTAAACCCTAATTAGACCCTTCAACCGAGACCCAACGACCTGGACGTAGACCCAGCGCCCCAAGCCCGACGCCCCAAAGCCACAAGGTACCGCGCCATGAGCCTGGAGCTCCAGCGTGCGAAAGCTTGCAGGGAGCCCCATCGTCCGAAGCGAAACCCAAAGAGCCCAAAGTGCGGCATGCCTCTATATTGTAGTAGCTTGAAGGTTGTTTTTTGTACTAGCAACCCTTATTCTGATTAAAGAGTCCAAAGTGCCTTTATAGTAGCTTGAAGGTTTTTTTGTACTAGCAACCCTTATTCTGATTTAAGAGTCCAAAGTGCCGAGGATCTAGGTCTTCTATGTTAAGGAAGCCTTGATCCGATTGGGGAAAGTCTCCCCCCATAACAGGACCTAGGACGCTTTGGGAAAGAAAGCTGGCCTGGGTTGCTAGTAGGATTCAGGGTTTAGGGTTTAGGGTTTAGGGTTTAGGGGTTTAGGGGTTTAGGGTTTAGGGTTTAGGGCTTCGGGTTTAAGGTTTAGGGTTCTACAATGTTTTCTACAAGGGTTCTACAATACTGTCAGTGTAGGGTCTAGACAGCCGCTTAGGAGTTATTAGGTATTCGGGTTTATGTTTACAGTAATGCTTGTGCAAGGGCAGGGTGAAAAAGGGCTTGCGAGTGTTTGCCAGCGCTCTCTAAGGGCGTTTTAAGGTTCTTATGGGGGTTGTTTATGGGCAGTTCTCTAAATTAGGGTCCCGTTTTGGATCCCCAATGTAGTACGGCACCCTGCACCCTTATAAACAGGACCCTAATTTAGAGAACTACCCGTATAGAGGTATGCAAAGGTAGCACAAGCTTGCCCGGGGTTTGTACAAGGGCACCTTCAGGGCTTGAAGGGTTTTTGGTGGCTTGGGGTGTGGGGTGTAGAGCTTGAGGATGGAGGGTCTTTGCTGGTTCCCTAAACCCTAAACCCTAAACCCTAAACCCTTCGGTGTCGTGCTCCGGGCAACAGTCAACTCCCAACACATCCTGCATCACCTTGTAGGGTTTAGGGGTTTAGGATTTAGGGCTTAGGGTTTCTAGTAGGGGGCCTAAATAATCACCTATACTATTTTGGGGGGGTTCCTTAAAATAATCACAGTAGACTGGGCCCCCAAACCCTAATTATTCTAATTATTAAGGCCCCTACACTAGGCAGACCAGGCTATAAACGTTAAACGGCGGAAGGCTCCAATCTCACCCTGCGACCCTAAAACCACGTGCGCAGCCGTAATTCCTTGGGGTGTTAGGGTTGGGGTTTAGGGTTTAGGGTTTAGGGTTTATTCCAAGTGACTGACATCAGCCAGCCTTTGCCTCAGCCCTGCCGTCCCCTAGGACCCGGTTAATTAGCCAACCTTGGACCCTTATGGCACCCAAAGACTCTTCGAAACCCTAGCCCTAAACCCTTAAACCCTCAACCGAAACCCTAAACCCTAAGCCCTAAAAGCCCTAAACTCTATAAACCCCGAACCCCATAAACCCAAGAATCCCGAAGCCTCAACCCTAAATCCTAAACTCTATGAGCCTAAACCCTATAAGCCCTAAGCCTCAACCCTAAAGGTGGTTTCCAAAGCGGCCAGGTGCCGAGACGGCCGAGTCGGTTCGATGTGCCCTGGAGCGCGACGCGAAGCAGTCCGAGCAGAAACTTCGTGGGAGTCCTAGACCCCAAGGGTCCAAAGGACCCAAGAATCAGGTACTTAGGTTTCGGATAGTAGTTGTGTATAGGTTACAATTTGGGAGAGTATATGATTATTGGGTACTTGGACCCTTAGGGAAAGGGCTTCTGGCTTAGGGTTGAAGGTCTAGGGCCTAGGGTTTAGGGATAAGGGTTGAGGGTTTGGGGTTGAGGGTCTAGGGTTGAGGGTTCGGGTTTAGGGTCTAGGGCTTTTAGGGTTTAGGGTTGAGGGTTTAGGGTTCAGGATGTTGGGGAATCTGGCTTAGGGTTGAGGGTTGAAGGTCTAGGGTTGAGGGTTTCGGGTTTAGAGCTTCGGGCTTAGGGTTTAGGCTTTAGGGATAAGGGTTCAGGGTTTCGGCTTTAGGGCTTCGGGTTTCGGGTTTAAGGATAACGGTTGAGGGTTTCGGGTTTAGGTTTCGGGTTGACGGCTTTGGGTTTCGGGTTGAGGGTTTCGGGGCTTGTGGTAACCAAGGAGTTCGATGTGCCTACACGTGTGCAAAATGCAAGGCATAGGATGTACCTGCATGTAACGGGGAATTATCAAGGTTTTGGATCGTGTAGTACTTGTACTTAACACCAGCGGTATACTAACATAGGCGACGAGAGCGGTTTTGCTGTCTTTGACTGTGGTGTGAAATCAATGAGGGGTTCGGTTTGGGGGTTTCGGGTTTGGACATTTCAGTTTGTGCGGTTTGTAATTTAGGACTGGCGGGATTATGGGTGGGGCCGTTAGGGTTTTGGTGGTATCAGGTTTGGGCTTTTCGTTTTGGGGCTTTAGGGCTTTTTACGGCTTCGAGTTCGGGCTGCAGTGGCTTCGGGTCTACGGCTTTCGGTGTGTTCGGGGCTTTGAGATTAAAGGGTTTGAAGTGATGATCCTGAAGGGTCCGGCCAGGTATCTCAGTTCTGGGCTTTAATTTCAGGAACATGTAGACCCCTGATTCCTGCACCCCGTACCTTTAAAGGGATTAAAGTAGAGATCCGTGTACGAATGCCCCTAATGGGAAGGGGTTTGTTAATCAGGTGTCTAGATCACCTTACACTCGAGAAGAACTTTAGGTAAAAGGGGGGGAGAGTATGCCTACGTACTTATCAGGGCTCCCTGTACTGCTGGGATGGAAGGCTTGAAGAAGGGACTCGAGGAAGATTTCGGTAATTTTGGCTCCATGGGCAGGAGGGTTTCTGGTTTAGGGCTTGCGGAGTGCGTTGTTACACTCAGGAGTTCGTTTTCTCATGGGCCTTCGTCGTGTCATTTTCATATTGGGACATCAAGGACTTAGAACTATGCTAGAAGGGAGCTTTAGCATAATTATCTAGAGGAGGGATGTAGTACAATTATGGAGATATCTGATCAATCAGATTGATATAGGTACAGATATTGGGGCGATAGGTGGATAATCTTACAAATGGTTCCGACACCCATGCTGAAAACACCCGCCCGAACCGTAAGAACTCGCAAAAACCACCCTCTACCCCAAACCTTAAACCCCGTGACCCCTGAACCTTTACATCCCAAACTTCTCAAGCAAAACAACGAAGCGCCCTAAGCCTCTATGCCCCTTCCAGAACAAAACTGCTACCTTGAACCCTAAACAATGTTTTTGTTTTACACTTTCCCCAAAACCATTATAAACCCCAAGCACTAAACCCTAAAACCTAAACATAATCCTCTAAACCCCTAAACCCTGAAGCTTCTGACGCTGATCTGTTTGTTGCCGTGTCTGCCGACGAGCCCCTGCCAGCCACTGAGCCCCAGAGCGACGGTGCTGAGGCTCAGCTTTGAACCAGTGTGCCATCGAGAGCCTGTAGAACCCTGTGCAACATCTCCTTACTAGGCCCTAAACCCTAATTGAACGGGTCTCTCATCCGGAACACTCTACCCTAACCAACCAGATACCTTCTATATAGCACTAGAGCCCCTAGGGCCCTTGATAGTAGGTACCTGGGGTGTTAGGGCTGTGCAGCTGCATCATGATGCCCACGATGACATCTGGGAGGAGCTTCAGGAACTCAAGACTACGACTTATCAGGTCCAGGCTGGCACTGTGGCTCTGCGCGGTGTCGCGCAAGCTCTACAGGCTTTAAGCCCGAAAACCCTAAACCCAAAAACCTCTTCGATGATGGAACCGATCCTGGAGGCGAAGCACAACAACGCCGAAGCCGTCGGTTTAGGGTTTAGGGGGCTTATGGGTTGGAGGAGTTTGGGGTTTAGGGCTTAAGGCCTCAATAATTACCGATACTATTTTGGTGTTCCTTACTATACTTATATTACAATGGCCCCAAAACCCTATTCTAATTATTAAGGCCCCTAAACCCTAACCC